TGGATAACTGTTTGTCTGAAGTGGTGTAGGGCTTCCTGCCAGAGCAGGGGGTTGGACTAGAAGACCTTAAAGGTCCCTTCCAACTCTTGTTATTCTATTCTGACCTCAGAAGGTTCAAATTTCTGTCCCTCCATTTCTTCTGGGGTACACCAACATGGCTCTGGTGGTAGGAATGGCAGCAGGGGGAACCAGCCCAAGTTGAAGAGGTACACCTTGAATAACCACTCATCCAGTGAACTTACAACAGGTCATGAGTCACTCTTTTCACTCTCGTCATAACCTCTAATGGTCACTAAACGAACTGTTGTAAATGGAGAACTACTTGTGGGTAGTACAGGTAGTCCTCGACAGTTTATTGATGACCTGGGGTGTGACACAAAAGTAACAATGTCACAAAAGTAGAATAAATTCCTTTTAATGCCTCCAACTTGGCCCCAATGTCCAATTACCCTTGGCTGGATAACAAACTCTTAAAAAAAACAATTTACGAAAGAAAGAGATGCAGTCTGAACCCAAAGTAAAGATAATTAGAAATAAAAAAAACCCAACACAAACCACACTGAACTAATTAACACGGCAGGCCAAGATGATAAATTGCAGACCTTCAAAAGATAACACAGCACCAACAGTTGGGAGGCTCAACCAAGATAATGCACACTTTGCTTCCAACAAGGTGCTGTGCACAAACACCCTCTTTATCCTGTTTTCCCAGCTGCAGCTAATGAAGGGAATCAGGGCCTTTTTCTCCCCCATAACCCACGTTGCTCCCTTATCCGTTCCTCCCTACATGCCCTAGGATGAGGAGGCGGGGTGGGCCTGGGTCTTCCTCTGAATGCCCAGCTGGCCTGTGCCCTTCCCCAGTATCCTCCACAGCCACCAGAGCCACATTCCCACTCCCTGTCAGCTGCTCAATCTCCCCCTCAGAATCAGACTCCAACAAGGGCATGGCAGTTTGTTTAATGACCATTCAAAGTTATAACGGCAGTGAAAAAAGTGACTTATGACCATTTTTCCACACTTACAACTGTCGCAGCATCCTCCTGGCCACCTGATCAAAATGGTCATATTTATGACCATTGTAGCATCTTGGGGGGGGGGGATATGGTCCCCTTTTGCGACCTTCTGACAAGTGAAGTCAATGGGGAAGCCAGATTCACTTAACTAGCATGTTACTAATGCAACAAGCGCAGCGATTCTCTTCATAACCATCTTACTAATTTAATTATTACAATGTTTCATTTAACAACTGTGAACTGTGGCAAGAAAGGTCATAAAAAGGGGCAAAACTCACTCAACAAATGCCTCACTTAACAGTGGAGATGTGGTTGGAAGTTGAGGATTAACTGTAGATGGTCACAGCTTGGTCCAATCCAACTCAAAGCTCTTTGAAGGTTGTTCTTTGGCAGCTACTAGCTGATGATAGTTCCTTCCCGATGGAGTCAACCAAGGCAAACTTTCAGACGCTCATTTTTGCTTGTGTGGCTCTGGCCCAGCTGGGAATATTGGGTGGGGGGGAGGAGGAAGAAGAGAAGAGGAGATTGATGTCCTTGATCCTAGCCCACGTCTTTTCTTTTGAAGGATATAGCCAGAGCCATATGCTATGGAGAACAACAGGAAGTTGCTCCCACGCTGTTCCAAGAGCAGATGGATTGATCCTCACACCCCCTGGGGAATGGGGTGGACAGGAAAAGAGATAAAGGCAGGAGTTCTTCTTCTTCTTCTTCTTCTTCTTCTTCTTCTTCTTCTTCTTCTT